CAGATCAAAGAGGCAGGGATGGAGCCAGTAAAGGTGAATGTAGGTGGGGAGGTAGGGAGGAGATAGGTCAGTCCAGGGAGGACGGACAGGTCAAGGGGGCGGGATGAGGTTAGTAGGTAGGAGATGGGGGTGGGACTTGAGGTGGGCGGAGGGGATAGGTGGGAGGAAGAACAGGTTAGGGAGGCGGGGACAAGCTGGGCTGGTTTTGGGATGCAGTAGGGGGAGGGGAGATTTTGAAGCTTGTGAAATATCCATTTCAAGTTCACCGACTCCCACAGCTACATGGACCATCTCTAACACCTCTCTCACCTTCCTGGACCTCTCTGTCTCCATCTCGGGCAACCACCTAGAAATCGATATCCATTTCAAGCCCACCGACTCCCACAGATACCTAGAATACACCTCCTCCCACCCACCTTCCTGCAAAAATGCCATCCCCTATTCCCAATTCCGTCGCCTCCGCCGCATCTGCTCCCAGGATGAGGCATTTCACTCCCATACATCTCAGATGTCCTTGTTTTTCAAGGACCACAACTTCCCCCCCTCAGTGGTCGAGAACGCCCTCGACCGTGTCTCCTGCATTTCCCGCAACTCATCCCCCACACCCCATCCCCACAATAACAACCAAAACAGAATCCCCCTCGTCCTCACATACCACCCCACCAACCTCCGGATCCAACGCATCATCCTCCAACACTTCTGCCATCTGCAATCCGACCCCACCACCAAAGACATTTTTCCCTCCCCACCCTTATCTGCTTTCCGGAGGGACCACTCTCTCTGTGACTCCCTTGTCCGCTCCACACTCCCCTCCAGCCCCACCACACCCGACACTTTTCCCTGCAACCGCAGGAAGTGCTACACCTGCCCCCACACCTCCTCCCTCACCCCCGTCCCAGGCCCCAAGAAGACTTTCCACATCAAGCAGATGTTCACCTGCACATCTGCTAATGTGGTATACTGCATCCGCTGTCCCCGTTGTGGCCTCCTCTACATCGGGGAAACCTAGCAGAGGCTCGGGGACCGCTTTGCAGAACACCTACGCTCGGTTCTCAATAAACAACTGCACCTCCCAGTTGCGAACCATTTCAACTCCCCCTCCCATTCCTCAGACGACATGTCCATCCTGGGCCTCCTGCAGTGCCACAACGATGCTACCCAAAGGTTGCAGGAACAGCAACTCATTTTCTGCTTGGGAACCCTGCAGCCCAAGGGTATCAATGTGGATTTCACAAGTTTCAAAATCTCCCCTCCCCCTACCGCATCCCAAAACCAGCCCAGCTTGTCCCTGCCTCCCTAACCTGTTCTTCCTCCCACCTATCCCCTCCTCCCACCTCAAGCCGCACCCCCATCTCCTACCTACTAACCTCATCCTGCCCCCTTGACCTGTCCATCCTCCCTGGACTGACCTATCTCCTCCCTGGACTGACCTATCTCCTCCCTACCTCCCCACCTACACTCACCTTTACTGGCTCCATCCCCGCCTCTTTGACTTGTTTGTTTCCTCTCCACCTATCTTCTCCTCTATCCATCTTCTATCTGCCTCCCCCCTCTCCCTATTTATTTCAGAACCCCCTTCCCCTCCCCCATTTCTGAAGAAGGGTCTAGGCCCGAAACGTCAGCCTTCCTGCTCCTCTGATGCTGCTTGGCCTGCTGTGTTCATCCAGCTCTCCACCTTGTTATCTCAGATTCTCCAGCATCTGCAGTCCCTACTATCACTGCCTACTACGTCATAGCTTCGATGAAGGAGAATAAAGGAATTTGATTTATATAATATTATAACTCAAAGCTCTTTGCGACCATTGAATTATGCATTTATTGCTGTTATAAGGGCAAACACAGCAGCCAAAATCCCACAAAATGCATAACTGGTTAATCTCTTTTTGGAGGGAGGAATGTTGGCAAGAATATCCATAGTTCCTGCTCTTCAATGTCCTTGTGGGATCCTTTGCATCCACCAGAATGACTGGAACAGACAGAAGGGGACTTGCTTTTTGATTTGATTAAAAGGCTGCCACATCTGAAAATCCCTTAGTGCTGCACTGGAGGGCTACCTGAATACATCTGCTAAAGAACTGGATTGTGGCTTGAATCCATAACCTCTGTCTCAAAGGAAATAACACGAGAAATTGACATCTAACCTGACACTGAATATGTTTGCTGGAACCTCTCTCTGTTTAAAAAATTATATACAATCCGACACTCCATTTCTTTTCCAAGGAAAATTTCCGGTTATAGATTCATTCTGTAGACTTGTAATAAATGATCCTGCCGTACAGAGCTTATACATCTTCAGATTGAAGTTTGAAGTATAGCAGATCAGTGAAATAAAGGTAGACAACACTGTGCCAAATCAACTATCTGTTCTGATTCAGCTTAAAGTGCCAAATCATTCCAGTTGCTTGGAGCTGGGTTCTTGTTTGTTACTTAGGCAAGAAAACTCAGTTGCAGCCAAGCAGAAAATAACATGTTTTGTCATTATTCTTGCAGTAGTGACCTGAAAAAAAAGGTTTGATAGTGATTCACATGTTCATGGTGACAGTGGCAAGAGCCGGAAGTGTAATGGTAGTAGAAAAAGGAAGTGTATTCCTCAATTTCAATGGTGGAACAGAAATGTTAATAGTAGAAGATATGCTGTCTTCCTTTAATCCCCTCTATAAAATGTACAAAATTCACTTATGAGATTCACTTACTCGATTCACATTTGGAGAAGCAGCAAGTGCTAGCCTGGACTATGAATCTTATTTCAGGCTGGAGACCCTTTGAAAATGTGCCCAATTTTCATGCTTTTGAATGAGGAAACATTCAATTATTTAGGAACTAGCCCTGGGGGCAGAGAAATTATGGGAGTGTGAACTGACAGCACGAAAATTCCCAAGCAATAGTTCTGGCCGTGAATAGCATCACATGCCATTCTCAAGTACACTATAACAATAAAAATGTTTAATCTTCCCCCTGCCAGTTTCTGAGTATTAACATAACATGCTCAGATGATTTCTGAATAATTAACGTTATTGAGTTTACAGTTATGGAAAGCTAAATACCTAAACAGAACAAAGAAATGTATTTGATTTTTCTCTTGTTGAAGTGTGGTGTGATAACTTTTAGTGAGATTGAAGTTCCCTTCAGTGATTCATAGATCAAAACACCTTGTTATAAATCATTATGGACTTTATGGATTAAATCACAATAACTATAACTGGAATAAATACAGAAGTTGCTGGAAAAACTCAGCAGTTATCAGAGTTAGCGTTTCGGGTCCGGTGACCCTTCCTCAGGAGCATCTCTTCACAGATGCTGCCAGACCAGACCTACTGAGATTTTCCAGCAATTTCTGTTTTTGTTCCAGATTTACAGCATCCGCAGTTCTTTCGGTTTTTATTAAATATAATTAGAGTTACTTGCTTTTAGTGTAGAGAATTAGATTAATTCATCCACCTTCTTTAATGCTTAATAGAATTTACATTTACAGCCATGTTCTGGAGCATGGTCAAATTTGCTTTGGATGTCATGGTTCTGAATTTAGAACCACGTGTAGGTCCTGAGCAAGTGTTTGTCGTGAAGCCACCCATCAATTCAACTGAAGTGGACCCTTAATTGACTCTCTTCACAATCAATTAAGGGTGGTAGTGTGGGATGGGGGAGGTGTTTCCTGAGACATGACGCCCAATGAGAGGCCATACAGTATCAGCCAGCTAGCAAACCCACTAGAAGAGGTCGGTGCTGCTGAAGCAGAAAAGCAGATGTGAGGCCGATAATGGAGGCATGCTTGGAAGCCTGCTGAAAATATAAAATTAATAAAAGGCACTCAGTATGGACAGGATATCTTACTACAAGATAGTCAGCTAGACGATTTTTGAGAAACAGAATTAATTGTAACTTCAAATCGTGGTTTAATCACACTTAAACTCCACAGGCTTTCTTTGATAGGCTTTGAACCCATGCCCCAGAGCGTTGTAGCCTCTGAGTTACTAATCCACTAATATGAACACTGCACCTCCTTAAATCTATAGATTAAATTGCAATGTAACATTATACCAACTACGGTTGTGTTTCCTGGAACTTAGAAGTTTTGGGAATGATTTGATTGAATAGATAGTGTGGATAGAAGAAACCATTTTCACTATTTGGGAATTCTGGGCCGAGGAAATATAGTCTGAAAGTTAGATCTATGCCTCCACACTAACTGAAGTTTGAAACACCTCCACGCATAAAGGCTGGTAGAAGTTTGGAACTCTGTTCCAAAAACAGCAATTAATCCCTGGTCAATTATTAATTTTAAATCTGAGACCAATAATACTTTGTGAACCACAAATGCTAAGGACAATGGGCCAAAAACAAATATGTGGATTTAGGTCGCAAATCATCCATAATATCACTGAATGGCACAGCAAATTGAAGGATATAAATGGCCTATTTCTGTTTCGAGGTTATGGTGAAAAGCTTTATTCTGATGACACATTTGTAGAAAGACTTGTGAGTGCAGGCAAGAGGTAAAACCACATCTGCAAGCATTGCCAGACATGGAGCCTTGTCATTACTTCAGAGGGGAAAGTTGTGTCACCACTGCTTTGATCAACTTTCCAGTTCCAGTAAATATTTAAACAGTTTTTGTGTACCTATCACCTGAATTAGAATACAAACCGAAAGAACTGCCAATGCTGTAAATTAGAAACAAAAACAGAAGTCACTAGAAAAGCTCAGTTCTGAGGAAGGGTCAGAGCTTTTCCAGCAACTTCTGTTTTTGCTTCTGAATTAGAAGCTTGGCACACAGGCCAACATTTAAAAGAATTATAGTGAACTTTTTTATTGTATTTTTCCAGAGGGCAACCTAAACACTGTCAGAAATTCAACCCTTTGAAACAAATTTTCTCACTTTTGAAGCTTATTTTTAAATGAATCAGCATTTAGCTTTCTCTTGGAATTAAGTATTTTGTAAATATAATATTTAACCTGATATGATGGTTAAAAAGTTTTAATGCAATATCTTTCCTATTCAGATTAAGATGTCTTGTGAAACAACTAGAGAAAGGTGAGATTAATGTGACCGATTTAAAGAAAAATATCGAATATGCAGCCTCTGTGTTGGAAGCAGTTTACATTGATGAGACAAGGTGAGTTTCTTTTGTCTTATAATTGAAAACCAATATGGCACAGTGCGCATGTGATTTATGCACATACATTAAAGCATAATTTGTGTATACATAGATAATTATTGCATATTTCATGCTTACAATTCAAAGAAAATATTTTTCCAATTTTATTTTCCTGTAATTTCTACTGAGGTTTTATGTTTTGATGCCTCTGAATATCAAAAGATTAGACACCCTCATTCCATTTTCTCTTTCCATTTACAACTAATGGAAAGCCAAGTATGCGTTGTGCAGTTTATGTGCCGGATGCTTCAAAGTGGAATATCTCCCTTTTAAATCCCTCTGTGTGCAATTTTAGTGTGCCATTTAACATGTTTCCATCAAATTCCTGCCTGTGCTATTTTAATACAGTTGTTAATCTAATTAAGTTAGTCAACAACTGTGTTAATGCAGCAAAAGAAGTAAATTGTGTAGAACTAATTAAACAGTACACTAAACCAATCAGAGAAAAAAAAACATTATTTGTGTCAATATGTTAGGACTAATTTTAACTTTCGCCGTTGATAGAAAACGGGCATTGTACAAGCCACTGAAGTTTCTTTACAACCGAAGTACAAGCAAAGAAAACTTGGAAGGGGTGTATAACAGATAACTGATCCAAAACCGTGCATTTTCTACAATCATCGAAAGTTAACTCAGCCCTATTTTGTCTTATAGCCGTGGATATGTATTGTTCTGCTATGTATCACCAAAAAGTGAGTTACTTATCTCTGAAGTTTGTGTGGTTGAGGTGAAGTGAGGGTACTTTCCACTGCTCTGCTGCACTTGCTAAAATTAGTTCTAGAATTTCCTCGGTCTAGAAGGACATCTATGTATATATGTGTATATCTGGACTGATTGACAATCAGGCAATGAATTACCTGCTGATGGGGTTCCCATACCCTGCATGAGATCCTCAAGCCAACAGCTACCAGGAATAATGGCCTTCAGTTGCAGCAGCGTACAATAACATTCCTGATCTCGTTATGCTGCTAAAGAATATTTACAGACCTGAGGTAGGAAAATCATTAAGTTATTTCAGAAACATCTTAGTGTAAATTCATCTAGCCACAAAAAAGCACACTGTCTCATGAGTATAGCCTACAACCAGATTAGACTCAAAATGTTAACTCTGTTTTTTGCCCCTCCAAAGATGCTGCCAGATCTGCAGAGTTCCTCCAGCATTCACTGTGTTTCTTTCAGATTTCTGGCATCTGCAGTATTTTGCCCTTATACAGTCAGATTTAATCTCTTAATTATTTTTTGTTTGTTTTTATATTCATTAACGGGTTGAGAGCATCGCTGCCTAGGTAACATTTATTGCCCATCCTTAATTGCCCAGAAGCTAGTTGAGAGTCAACCACATTGCTGTGTGTCTGGAGTCACATGTAGGCCAGACCAGGTAAGAATGGCAGATTCCTTCACTAAAGGACATCGGTGAACCAGATGGGTTTTTTCCGAGAATCGACAATGGATTCATGGTCATCATTAGATTCTTAATTCCAGATATTTTACTGAATTAAAATTCCACCATCTGCTGTGGCGGGATTCAAACCCAGGTCCCCAGAACGTTATCTGGTTCTCTGGATTAACTAGGCCATTGTTTCAAATAAGCATCTTGTACAAGCAGCATAAATGTTGCGGGAGAGTCGAGAGTTATCAATTTTCTTCCCATGAGGAATTTGCGTTGTGTCCAAAGCTTCTGAGGAAGGGTCACCGTACCCAAAACGTTAACTCTGTTTTCTCCTCCACAGATGCTGCCAGACCTGCTGAGCTTTTCCAGCAACTTTGTTTTTGTCCAAAGCTTCTGATTCTACTCATTGTGATACATCATCCCCCACTTCTCTAATCACAATTTCCATTTTAAAGAGGCTACCACTGTGGCAGTTTCACGAGCCCGACATGTTCTCAGCACCTTTAGAGGTTGTTGAGAATTTATATCCTCCATGTAGTCTCCCACACTCTGTTAGGCAGAAGAATCGACAGAAGATTTCAGTTCAGCATGCAGTCTGTCCTCTGGAGCTCTCAGAGAATACATCAACATTAGTCTTTTTGATGGTGTTGAACTTTGAAGCCGGTTGTTTCTGACTTAAAACCTGTGCATGTCCACTCTGTTGCACCATATCATTTTTGGCTCAAAAGGGGTAGTACAAAAAATGTGGTGTCTTGAAACCAAGCTGGCTGTGCTGGTTGGATGCCTGGCAAGCTGTGAGCTTTGTGACATTTGTCACAGATTTACATCTGACTGCAACAGCTCTTATTCTCTTTCTCCCTTGTTTCAAATAAGCATCTCGTACAAGCAGCATGAGTGTTATGGGAGAGTCGAGAGTTATCAGTTTTCTTCCAATAAGGAAGTTTCATTGAGCTAAATCATTTAGGAGTGGAGCACTAATTCAGAAATGCAAGTTGAATGTCATTGTTTTCTTCAGCAATGCTTCCACTGTACACACTCGTCTTCCAGCTTCAGCACTGACTTGAGGCTATCTTGGTGAACTAATGGACAAACCCACATGATGCTGTGAACTCTTTCATGTATTCATTGGAAAACTCTGGTCCGTTGTCTGAAGTTACAAGGTGTGAAATTCCATGTGTTGCAAGTACTCCTTCAGCAATGTAATCACTGACTCAAAACTGTGATTCTACAGTTGCTTGACTTCTATGTATCTTGAGTAGTAGTTTACCACCATCAGGAATTTGTACTTTAGTGTTCAGAATCATACTTACCAAGACATCCTCATGATCGTGATGGAAAGAAAACTGATATCAACAATTATTTTGTCTCCTGACAATGAATTCCATGACTAATAAAACTTAATTTCATCTCTTCTAATGATTTTGAGAGTCCTGGAACCAAATAGAATATATTCCCCAGCTCAACTTCTTGTGATATCCAGAAGCCCTTGCTGTAATCATTGCAGTGCACCAAGTCTTGGGGACTGTCAGAAAGATCAATCTCTTGGCTTGAATGAGTAAATCATTCACTACACTGAGGTGTCCTCCTCTCTCTTCATAATTCAGTGTGAGAGTGCGAATTTTTGGCATGTATGCTAGCCAACATTTGTTGCCTTGCTCTGTGACATGAAAGCGTTCTTTATCAGATTTCTGTCCATCTCTGACTTCAGTCAGACACTGAATTGTTGCTGGTAGAGTTGTGGCTATTACTACTGTGAAGATTTCTCCCTTTTCCATGGAATCTATGTCTCCTAGTTCAGGCTTTTCCACAGGGATACGAGACTAAGAGCTGCAGTTGTCTACTGTTTCTATTAGGATATCAGTATTCCAGTAGTTTCTTCTGTGTTTTTTAGACTTGACACAGAAATACATCTCTATGTCATTGATATCTTACATTTCATGGATCTTGCCACTGTTTGAGGATTTCTCTTTTGTCTTTCTCTGTACAAGCTTCTAACTGTGATACTGAGTGTAAAGTAATGCTTCTTTCTGCAAAAATGAGATTAGCCATCTTGCAGAGCAATTTTCACCTGTGTTTTTTTCTGCAACATCAGCATCGGTTAGTTAGGGCAGTTCTTGCATGCTTTTCCAATCTGCTGTGTTTTTATGCAGCCATCATTCTGCTTTTAGGTGTATAACACTTCACTACATTGGTTGTTTTTAGGATATGATTCTCTATGTCACCCCAAATCATTAATAGAGTTTCTTCTGACTTCATCTCATCTGCTCAATTGAATTGCCCTTATTAAGGTTAAGTCATCTCTTGACTTTGCACAGCCAGGTAATGCCTCACCTGAGACTCTGACAACAATTCTGCCCTGGATTAGTTCTTCCTTTAGGCTGCCTCATTGGAACTGACAGCTCCCTAGTTCCTGATGGATTTCATCCTAGGGTGTTAAGAGAAGTAGCCAGTGAAATAGTTAATGCATTGCTTTCAATTCTCCAAAACTCATCAGATGCAGGAAAGGTTCCTCGCGATTGAAAAATAGCCAATGTAACACCTTTATTCAAAAGGGGAGGGAGGCAGAAAACAGGAAACTACAGGTCAGGGTGTAGAGCTGGATGAACACAGCAGGCCAAGCAGCATCAGAGGAGCAGGAAGGCTGACGTTTCGGGCCTAGACCCTTCTTCAGAAATGAT